CGGCTGATGGGCGTGCAGCGCAACGTGGAGGTGTGGCAGAGCCTGTTCAGCGTGCGCAACTTGGTGGTCCCCATGCACGAGGGTGAGTTGACCCGCCAGCGTGGGCCGCAGCTCACGTGCTGGGGCCACTTTTTTGGACGCCACTTGTGCTGTTCTGCTCGTCACAGTGTCATGTCTGATCGGACTCGAGCGGGGTGCCGTGCTGGATCCAGGATTGGAAGCGGCCATACTCCACGGCACCCTCCAGCTCAGCAGCCAATGCATGTTGCAACCCTGGATCAGCACACAACACATCAAGCTCTTCTGATCTTTTTGAGCCCCTCAAAAGCCCTTTGAAAAACCCCCCAAAACCCCCCTGCCCCACCCGCCCACCCTGGCGCCCCCCAGACGTTGAGGGGTGGCTGAAGTACGCGTCGCTGTGCCGCAAGAGCGGGCGGCCGCGCCAGGCGGAGCGCATGCTGGTGCAGCTGCTGCGCTACGACCCCCGGTCCATCACCACGCCACACACGCCAGGATACGGCGCGGGCAGGTGCGCGCGGCCGTGCCCGCGCACACACCCCCCCCACACACACACACACACACACATGCACAAGAGCGCCTGCCCTACACCACCCTCCCCTTTCCCTGCCCTCATAATCAAACCCACATTGCAACTGCAAACATTGCTCCACAATACTCCCCCCCCCCCACACACACACAAACTCCAGCGGCGCCCCGGCCGTGATGCTGGCGTTTGTTAAGCACCTGTGGTCCACAGGCTCAAGGCAGGAGGCACTGGGGCGCCTGCAGGTGCGGCGAACACAGCAGCAGCTGCAACAGCCGCCGGTCCTGCAACGCGGCGTCGGCAGAGCAGGCCGTAGAGCGTGCGCCTGCTACACAGAATGCGGCGCGCCTGCCACACAGCGCCCCACCGCCGCTCTGGCGTCGCCCGATTGAGTGGGAATGGCGGCCTGTGCGGCGTTCTTCATTGATCCCCTCTCCTGGAAGAGTCTGACCCACTCCCCTCAATCCGCATACCTCAACGCCCCGACCCCAATGCACCTCCAATCCCATCACCCCAACGCCCCCCCCCCCCAAAAAAAAACAAAGGACCTGGTGACCGAGATCGCCTCCATGGCGCCGTCAGAGCCCCCAATGCCCTTCATCAAGCCAGACCTCGCAGCAGCGGCGGCGGCGGTGCCCGCGCACCTGTCTCACCTGCCTGGGGGCGCGCTCAAGCGGTGCGTGTCCCGCAGAGGGGGCGGGGCCTATTGGGTGACAAGTGCCGGAGCCGTTGCTTCCTTTGGGCCGCTGCAAGGAAGCATGGCGGGCTACGAAACCGCACAAGTCCAGAGCGCCGTTCCGCACGCACCGCAATTGCACTCGCGCAACCACACAAGACCACACGCTCGCGCACACAAATACGCGTGCGCGCGCGCACACA